TAATTGAATGACATGCAATGAAGAATTTAAAAAAATACCATGAACAAAAATCATTCCAGAAAAAGTATCTTCATAATTTGATCGTTTTACTTATATGATTTTAATGTAAGCAAAATAAGGGTAAAGGTAAATTGAGGCTAAAGCTAATTTTAAAATAGGACTGCAATGATTAAAACGGCGAATTGTTGATTTATATGTAACAAAACCATTTCACTCTGAAAATATTAAGTTTTCTAAAGATTTCTGTGGCTTGTAATATTTTGCGAGTAAAGAAGTCTTTTTTGAGAAAAAGTAGTAGCATTAAAAAATTAAGTCATTGTCCTAGTTATTTGAAGGTGAAATTTTACACAAGAAGCAAAGGTTACAATTTACAATAAGTGGGTTTTCATTTTTTCAAGGGAATTTTTTGTCATCAGAGTAAACGTCATCCTTAAAAATGTTTAGCTCTTTTAGTGTGAGTATTTAACACAAGGAGGGAACTAAATAATATTTCATTTGTTCAAAATGGCATCAACCTAAATTCTAACATGAGTTTATTTCTGTAACATTTGTTATCCGACCGATTTATTCCTCAGTGAGCTATCAATTATGATTTGTCATTCATTAAATATATCAAATGTTAGAATAACGGAAATACTTTTTCTTTAAAGATTGAGATAAAAAATCTGGTGCAAGCAAACCGCAACTTATCGCCGATATCTTCTGAAGAATATAACCTCTAAAGTACGTTTTGTAATCCTTTAAATTTTTTCAATGGATAAATAAAGCAAACATTTTTTTCAAATATCAACATATCTCATAGATTATTGTTCAAATAGGTAACATTATTAATTTACAAGCAAAGTGTGAGAATCTTACAAGATTTTGTCACAATGTAAAAGAAAAATTGTGAAATATTTTCTTGTACTGTGAATCAATGTATTCAAGAAGTGGTGTAAATCAGATTTGGATACTAAAAAATTCTAAGGAACTTTAGGAAAATTTGAAATAACATTTGCCAAAATCAACAGCATTAAAACTTTTTTTAACTTAATATACAACATTTCCCAAGGATAAATGAAAGTCCGGGTTTTTTTATATTAGAGACAGCTGCTTTTTCAACAAAAATGGAACACTTAAATTTACTTTCCTTGTCATTGGTCATTTGCAAAATTATTTTGTAAACAAACATCCTGGTCGTACATTCAAATACTCTGAAGCTGAAATTAAACCAAATGCTTGAGTTTCTGATTGACAATATCTAAAATGTATTTGGTCTTTTGGAGACCAAGTTTTCCAACAATTTATCGGTATTTTTATTGCGCCCTATTAGCAGACCTATATTTGTATTCATTTGAAGCAGACATTGTCCAAAATCTTTAAAAAACTTGAAAAGAAAAAAAAACACCCAACATTTATTTGAGTTGACGACGGATTGCAATTAACAATGGTTATTTCCATTCTTATGTCGATAAGATACAGTGTAAGTGGAAATTTTAGCGAGATGCAAATTTAACGATTTCTACCTGAAATATGGTATTTTTATTTAGCGAGAAGTAAATCTAGCGATTTTAAAATGCCAACTAAAGAAACTATTGCAAATAATACGCAATTAAGTTTTAGCGATATTCAATTTTAGCGATGTCAGCACCCTCGCTAATAATGCCAAAATTAAATCCTCGCTAAAAATTCTACTTATACAGTATATCCTGGTGAGCTTGAAATAAAAGACACCTCAGAGTCTGACACATCTGTTTCATATTTGGATATTTTACTTGAAAAAGATGTTAATGGTAATCTAACAACCAAACATTTGAACAAACAAGACAACATTAACTTTTCAATCGTCAACTTCCCTTACTTATGCAGCAATATACCTTTATGCCTGCCTGCCCAAATTCCGTATAAGAAGAAGAGACAACTACCATATAAAGAATAAAAATGGTCATTTATTAAGGAGTACAAATCATAAGAAGTTCACAATACATAATAGCATATAAAAAATCATCAAAGACGTTACACATAGTACAAAAAATCCAACACTCCTTCAATAAATGACAATAAATCAAAAAACCATATATGTACACAAAATACTACAAAACTATCACACATTTGTATCCTGAGAAATGGACTGACTAGTAAAATTATTATGCAACAAAATTTTGGCCATTGAAAGGACTAGATATACAGTATGATCTAAACAAAGCAGTGATATGAGGTGTTCATCTGCCACCTTAACAAGGTAGGCTATCTCAGTTCTCTAACACCTATCCTGTCATAATATACATATATAGGCTTTATCACCTGCATACGGGGTTTATATCTCTCAGTTGATTCGATACGCAAGAACATGCTCTATATATAAACAATTTTTTTAAACGAGGGAAGTTATTGACAAACAAGTTGCTGAAAAAAGAATACTAACCATAGCAGTCTCATTGAATGCCATAATTTCGTAAGATCTAATTGATCTAAAGACCATTTAATACTAAGTCAATTAAATGCTGTCTGACGTTTTTCATTAGGCCATTTTATACACACTGAATTGTCAACGGATTTTTTCCGATCGTGAACACATGGCGGTGTGATCGGCTGGCAGGGGATGCTCACTCCTCCATTGCACCTTATCCCACCTCTGATGTTTTGGGGGTCCTTGTTTTGATCTGCTCGTATTTTGTATTGTTTAATGGACTTTTGAGATTCAATTATGTTCGTTATCTCCATATATTTCATAGTAAAAGATATTAAGTCACATATCTAAGCACCACAGAAAACTTACGATTTCTTATATTTAAGGGATTGAGTATTTATGTCATATCCATTCAAAATTAGTTTAAAAATTATATCAATCCATGTATCAAAATTTCGTTGGTATTTTGTATTCTAAAATCATATTTACTAATACCATTTATATACTCCTTAGATTCATTTTGATAAATGTGTACACATCATTAAAACTTTCACATTTATACCAATTAAGCATATAAAGCTAGTATATTTATATATATAACTTCACTCACTTATTTGAATATCATAAATACCATATTTAGAGTTCATACGTACATATACATGTACATAATACTCACGTATAAATATACACACATACACTTTCATGTAAAGAAGAAGAAAAAAGAGGAAACGAAAAATAGAGAGAGAAAAAAAGGAGAAAATTTGAAAAGCAAAATTGTAAGGGCGTAGTGATTTTTTACATTAAAGGGGTAATGACCAGCATTAATTCCTTGCAAAATTTATATAAACATAAATTATTAAATATCCAACAGAGTAATTTTAGAAAAAAAATTAATATTAGATAAACAGGTAAAACTTAGAAAATTTAACTTATATATCATATTATTTGCGTGAGGTAAAATATATACACAAATTATACAAATGTGAAACACATTTTTTCAGAAGACATGCATCCCCAGAATGGACAATATGGTTACGATGTGATCTATTCCAGGTCTAAGAAGACCGCTGAAATATTTAAGCAACTATAGGTAAATGATAAAACCACAGGTGAGTAATATGAAGGAAATAACAATATATATAATTTGAAATTATGAGCAGTACCTTATATTGTATCATATTATGTTTTATTGTAATTATGTACCAATGACATACATGCCAAATTAACATTTTGAGTTTCCGACCCAGCAGTATTCATTTTTTACTAAACTGTGAACAAAATGCATCATTTTAGTGACTGCAAAACAATCCAATAGAAAAATATTTTTATAGAGGCTTATCTAAAATTATATATCTGGATAGGGATAAAGTCTTGTCTTCTTTTACTGTACTCAACCTGTTATTCCAAACTTTGACACCAAAGTCCTCAGAAAGTTCACTGCGGATGTATGAAAGTATATCATAGAACCTGTCTCTGTAATTAACACGAGAATCAGGTATAAAAAAAAAAATCAGGTATGTCACTCATTACTCATGCCTGTAAAAGTGCGACCTTTTAGACCCACAGCATTCTGATTTTTTAAGCAGTGGAGGTTCGCGTAATGTCTTGATAAGTTGTTAACAACTAAAAGTGAAAAGGACATGCATGCAGGGTGTTTTGTCGATCAGTTGTAGATCGAACAAACATTTATTCATCCCAATCTTTTTTAATTACCTATCAGCTAATCAATTAATTAGTCGGGGATGTCATTACAACCAATCAGTACATATGTAGGGACAATGTGCCGAAGATTGATAGGGTTCCGCCTAGCTCATCCTTGCTCTCTATATAAAGACCCCCAGATAGTGGACAAAAATCAAACTCCAAGCAATCAGCATATATAGCGTAAGTAATTTAAAATTCGTAACAAAATTGAACCGATGAATTTTTCTAAGGAATTCAAATTTCTTTGCAAAATTGTTAATGATTGAAGATATGCGACATCGACATCCTTTCTGTAAAAAAAAAAACTAAATAATTGTGAAACATTGAAACAGTTCATCTTAATCTAAAATTAAAGTAAGACACCCTAGACTTATAAGAGAAAATGATTGTTATATAAAATCATTTTCTATGATACGAAATGTGAAATATACTAATTCAAATGGCTTGATGATCTTGGAACCTCCGGGTTGTGTAATTTACAAAGTGCTTTGCAAAGAAAATTAGTTTCTAAAGATGTTAACAGTCTGAGTGTCTGCAGAGCAGAAACTTTTCGTTCCAAAGTCTTCGATTCTTCAAAGCATGTTGACAAGAGTTGTGTTGTCAACATCAGTAGGAGACATTGATTCGAAGAAGTTAAATTTCGAAACCTCGCTCTGCAGACTTGGTAAGCATGAGGTTGGACATTGGCGCGCGACAAATTTCGTCGCCCGGCGACACAGGGGTCTGACGTAGAATCAAGTCACCCTCCTGATCGCTAGGAACTCTCCAATGTCCTCTCACTTTGTTTACACGAGAACAAATGGTAAACACACAAAAAAAGATGTAACATGACACGAAATATCGCTTAACGACACGTGTGACGAATGATTCTAAACACCAGTTACTTAATAATGTCCTCCACAGTCCAGTGGTACCATTGTCTTCTCGGACTTCGTGGGATCAACACACTTATCTCTCCTGTAGGATTCCAGCAAGATGCATTCAGTGGTGCTGATCGTTTTATTGGCTGTGGTGCAGTTTCTTGGACTTGATGCTGTGTATGTAGATATTAGGGAATACAGGGGATATATACAGCGAAGGCATAACAACTACAGGTCTCAGGAAGGTGCTGCGGACATGAAGTACATGGTAAGGTGCTTCTACCATCAAACTCATCCAGCAAAGTAATCCACGAGGCTCAAGAAAGAAAATTAAATGTTAAAAACCGCTAGATTTCAAAAGCTTCGTCAAATTATTTAGATACTGTATTAATTAATGCATTTAATAATGTTGGTATCAAATGTTTTCAGTCATACGACCTATCACTGGAGCGAGCCGCTCAAAGATGGGCTGACAGGTGCGTGTTTGAACATCAGATGCGAGGATATGGGGAGAATCTCGCGTTTCTCTCAAGCACTGGACCCACTCCATTCCGCGGCTATGTTATCGACGAATCCATCCGACAGTGGTATAACGAGCGCCCTCTATATAGGTTCGGCAGCGCCTCTTGTGGAGCAGCTTGCCATTACACCCAGGTAAATATAATGTATACTGTGCATCACTCAGTAGGAATCATATTTTGATATAAATTGAGTTTTCAGAATTGACGCGGAAGATGAAAATAGTTTGTGGAGACATAGGTTAATGCTTGTAAACATGTTAAAGGGTTTTTATCATGCATCGAAATTTCTTTAAAATTAAACACTAATATATTCTTGGAACATATAATTATCGTTTAATTATAAAATAATGTTTTAAACTGTCGTATTTAAGCCATAATACGTCCGTAATGTAAGGTCTTCAGATTGAAAATCTCCACTAATTAGATAGGGGTCACGTGGTACTGAAACGTCATAGGTGTCAATGGGCAATTAGACCTCGTAAAGCGTATCGTAAGAAAACATCTACCGTATAGATACTTGCATGAATTAAAAAGAATACACCACAAGGTTGGAAGAAATTTTGATATTGAAAATAAAACTTTGGCCATAGATGCTATATGTATTATGGATGTTATATGTATTAACTTCTACAACAAAAAAATAAACAAAAAACATACCGTCAAAGGAGGACAGGGCATTGAAGACGAAGCCATTAATGACAACTCCTGGCTTCGACTGAATAGATCGAATTATTAACGTTTGACTTTTTAAATAATTATAAAAATGGTCGTTATACGTTTTCTTTCTTTGTTATTTTAATAAATTATACATAAACAGATCTGTATCTTCTATCTGTTTCAGCAATGAACATCATTTGACAGAAAGGGCACTTCGATCGTCAATGGCGTCGTGCGCCATTACGAACTTCACAACACTTAGTACATGATGTGTGTGCCGGACTTTTAAAATGCCTATTGATAAATTAATATTTTTGAAAAATACTATTTCCATTAAATAGATATTTTATATAATACAGAAAAATTGTGATCGTACATTAACGAATGCTCTGAATGGAAACAAATCCACGCACCGACCAAGTCCCTGGCAGGTAAAGAAAACTTCATAAAACCTTTCCTGTGCTGATTTTTCATCCAAACGCCACAAATTATATATAATTATCTATCAATTAACCGATTATCATTTATTTAATTTCTGATATAAAGCCGTTTTGAGTACTTCGCTTGACCAGGACTGACACCTATGACGTCAGAGCAATGGCGCTCAACATCGGCGATCAAAATATGCATATTGAGAAATTTAAACTTTGAATCACTGAAACACCGAAAATATTGATTTTCTAACAAAAAAAAATTGATGGAGGGTTTTAATAGCATATAAACTTTGTTATATCAAAAAATCATGATGCATGATAAAAACCCTTTAACAAGCCATTAAACAATTGTTTCCTCAGATTTTAAATAGGATTCCTCAACCATGGACATTCCGAAAGACTATTTGCATGAAATTAGTCTGTTTAGAGGCTTTCTTTAGATTTTATCTCTTATTGATAAATGAAATCATCGTTGCTCTTATTGATGATATAAATGACAATTTATCTACATAAACACTTCCGATATATCGGTTTCTTGTATTAATCACCAGTTTTGGTCAGTTAACATGCCCTGTTATATGTTTCCATTTGACATCAAGTTGTGATGAACATATACTACATTAGTAAGATTAATTACAAGGAAACATCACAAAATTCGTACTATTGTTCATGTAAACAAAAACATTTATTCTTCCTATACGGAAGCTAACTTTATATTAGAAAGCCAGTAAAAAGGTAACAAAATGGCATGGATATTTGTTAGTCTAAAATGTCCATTTATTCTTCAGTTATCTCGTATCAAGCAGCTCGAGATAAACTGAAAACTAGATTAATGTTCCTTTCAGTAGTATCATTATTTTTTAGGTCTGAAATCGCAAAATGTTGAAAAGAAACCTCGGCGCATTTTTTTTGGTACTTGGATTAAAAAGTAATAATGGTAGTTTAATATATACCGGGGTATAAGCTTGAAAACGAGAGGAAACTGCAAAAAGATTAATAAGAAGGGGGTATAAATGATGCTGTATAAAATAGATTTATGAAGTTAGGTCATTTTTTTATACATTTTACCCTGGTCCCTTTTAACAGCAGGGTTTCTTTTTCATTTGTCTGTATGATCCTATCCCTGAAACAGTTTAACAGCGGTCTATATTTTGTTTTATATACAGATGGTTTGGGCTCAGACTTCCAGGCTTGGTTGTGCCATGAGTTACTGTAACGCACTATCCGACGGTAGAGGGCGCGTATATCGTAACGCTCAGTACTTCGTCTGCTTCTATTCACCTCAGTAAGTGTCGAATCCTAGAAATCAGTTGACTGTTACTGCATACTATTGTCTTTTGAAACGCTCGTTTAAAAAAAAAAAGATGTTTAACTTTCTGGAATGTAATGTTTCACAGGGGTAACTACATCGGACAGCCCCCTTTCACCCCTGGTCCTGCGTGTTCGAGATGCCCACCAGGAAACAGCTGTTTTCAGGGTCTTTGCTACGGTCCTGGTCAGTACATATTTTAATACTGTGCAATTCCATAATTTTCATCTAATTTTGAAGATTCTAATCATTTACTTTATTTCTAATGACTAACCCCTGGGTAACTTCCTTTCCAGATTTCAGAGGAAGAAGAAGGAGGAGTGTCGCAGCAACTTATAAATCCACCATGACAAAATCAGACGTCTGGTAAGTTCAAATTTTAAACCAAAATCAACATTTGTGTATTTACTTGTGTTTTCTTGCCTTATATTTTAATTATCTCGTTGTCATATGAATATAATTGAACAGGTATTCATATATGTGTAAATGTTATGTCAGTAATAATTCTATCTGTAAAATTTCAAAACAGCTTCGCTCCTATGCAACATCTGAACTACTATAGTATTTTGTCAAGTTATCTAGAAGTTGGTGCGATAAAAACATAGAATTAAATTTAAAGTGTCAAACAGATTCATATAAGACTTACAGAAACTTCAAGAAAAAAATGAAATTAAATTGCTTTTTTTGTATATAGAGATAAGTATAGAGGATAATTGTAGAGTTACAATATCAGCCTCTCTTTGGCATCTTTGATTAGAGTTTTATCTGGCAGCGGGGCGTATTTCAGCTATCTAGTAGTATTGAACCGATAAATATTCAACCTCAAAACAATGCTTAATCAATGTAGTATAATGCAATGTACTTTTCATCATTTCAGACAATCCTAAACATGCATGTGATATCAGGTCTCAGAAGGATTTTGCTGCTGAATAAACAATTTATATATAAAGTATCTGAAATAAACGCTTTACAGTTCGTGTTATACGTATACCCAGTGTCTTTTCATGAGATATACAGAAGCATAAACATTGTATTTCGTTGAATCAAGACCCCCTCCTGAGTAAATGTACACCCTAACGACAAAAAAGACAATTTATTAATTTCAAGACTCAGGGTATGGAATCAATAGAAACGTAACATATCCCACTCCCCAAATTTCTTTATCCTTATGTTTCTCAGGTATGATATATATGGTTTTTGCTTATATGTTCCTAAAAGATGGGAGAAACAGGTCAGAATCCATTTTATTGCTTAACTCAATTTCTAAATATGTTTCTTTATTTTTCTTTGAGACACAAATTTTGAAAGTTTTAAATCTATGAACAGTATTTATTTAGCTTTACGTGTATATTTTCATTAACAAATTCTAAAATTGCCCAATTTAGCGAAGAACAAAATTCATTCATAAACTTATCTTTGGGATTTCTTTATCCAGAGGTTAATAAATTGTGGGTTTTTTTTTTGTAAAGATAGAAACTTCCCGATATACTTTGGTCTCTCATCTTAATTCAAACAAAACATTGACTACGTCCAGAAGATTGCACATATTTAATTGGATTTCTATAACATGTATTTTAGAAAATAAATACTGAGATGTAAAGATTATATGTACAGAGACGAACAGACAATAAAATAAGGGGACAAAAATATAGTAAACATTTTAAAAAAAAGAGGAAAATATGTATATATCAAAAACAATAAATAGGAATTGTACACATCTTTTATAAAGCACTTCATATTTATACTAGATTTTGCATAAAAATTTGATTTAACAAGAAATACAGCTTCTCAAATTGAAAGACCTCGAACTGTTTATCAAACATCGGGATTCAATGAGACATACAAAATAAATAAAAACAGATTTCTGTACATATGGATGGAATGAAGTTATAGTAATTGTTTTCGCTGAATATTTCCTTCTGCACTGGAATGTATTAAAGCAGTTAATTCTTCCTCAGCTTCAATCTGGGTATTCTGAACGGACACTCTTTTATAGCCATTCTTCCGGGCCTGAGTGTTTGTTAAATTGACACCTTGTCTGTCACTCCCTTGTCCACTTACAATTCCGCCATTTTGAATTAATGGCGGTTGTTTTTCCGAGACAAACGTGACACCTTTGCTGCCGTTTGAATGAATATACAGATGCCGACCTGTATTTTGACTAGATCTATCTTTTGCTACGTCTTTCGCTTCTTTGTTCGATCCTGTAGAACTGCTTGTGTCTGGACTATTGAGCGGAAGTTCGTGAGCGGCAGAACTTCCAAGGAGGGAAGATAATTGCCGCTTTCGTTCGGCAGTGTATTTTGCTCTGTTCACTTCAGCATAATATTTGTTCGCTTTCTCCTGTTCCCGCGTGGGGTGATTGAAACAATTGCAGAAACCTATGTAGTAAAATAAATGTACATTGTGTCTGTAATAAAGATTTGTGTTACACAGAAAAATTCGGTTAGTGTTGTTTAAGATGTGATCTTAAGTTATAATTTAAACTGTTACCTTTGCACATCTGTTCAGCTTCATCCTGAAAATGATACGAAATCCATTAAGCAATGAAAAAAAAAAAGAAAAGAAAAGGAAACGCTTGCCAAAATCGATTTTATTACATGCACTTTTAATTAGGACGCAAACTTACTGAACTTTCGGTAGATTTGTTAGTCTTCTGGGAAAAACACTTCCATACTTTTGACACCTGAAAAATAATAGACATTTTATTGCCTTTTTGAAAGAAGATGGAAATAAGGTAACATTCGCCTTAATTTGAAGTTCATTTTATATGACATCTCACCTGTTTGTCAAACACAACTCTGACCAGGAAGACTGATATCACCTATGAGACGAGAAATACAAATTACATCAAATGTTAAAATTGAAGTCTTGTTATAAATCATTGTTAATTTCTGTATAATTGTTTATAAGCAATAGACGTATATACCATCGCAGTTTTGCAGATAAGTAAAAAGATGAGCTGCATTGAATCTTGATGAGACGGTATATCCATGGAAAGGAAAGCATCAACGACAACCGCGAACAGCAAAACAATGGTTTTAGTGCAGTTACAGCTGTAAATAAGGATTCCAAGATTATACAAGATGTAAAAGTTTATTATAAATTAAAGAGTGTTAACTGATATATCCCCTTCACATACAACATTTTCTTTTTCTGTCCCTGGGCTGTCTCATCAGTTTTTGCGGTTTTGGAATGAAGGACTAATGCACTAAATACAAATATCACCTGAAAATACAAAATACAAATAAATCTTTGAATATTTAGTAATGAACAGGTGTGGTAATCATTGAAGGTGTGGTGTGTTCTGAAATTTATAGAAATATTAAAAGTCTTGTTTTATCAGCATTAATAACAAAAAATGCCAAATCTATTATCGAATTTATGTCAATTCCTAAATTACAATTAGCTTCGTGATAAAACGTAGTTAGGATATGAAATAGACGAGTAGAATGGTTTACATACACATGATATGCTGGCGACTGGAATGGCAAATAAATAAAATGACCAATGACTTTTCTGTAACCAGCATCTGAAATATTACAAGAGTCAGATAAACTTTAATTTGTTTTGTTCTTACAGAATACTTTTGTTGTGATTTAAACTTAATGTTTCTACAAAATCTCAGAAAATAGAGTTGATATTAAGATTTTTTTTTGACAATTCATACATACTTGAATGAACCTTTGATTGGAAAACCAAACATTTCCGATGCAACAGTATAAAATATTGCAATCACCAATGGAAACCCTAAATAAAGAGAATTACATAACCAGATGATAATTTTCAATATTGTATCTACTGTACAATACCGTATACATAAAGAAGGAAACTTGTATAATCGATGGCTTCAATTTTAGAGCTGAATTCTTTACGACGTATGAACACTGTAAGAAGGGACGTAATTCATAATTCTATTAATCTCTTTGGCTTTTTTTTAAAGGATTATAGCATAATAATTCTGTGGAAATATTTATTTTTATTTTGAACGCACTGAATTTCTTTAAAACTTTTTTCAAAATAATGAACAATTTGCATGTGTATGCAAAAGACTACTTATATTTGAGTTTTTGATCCTTACCCCATCCAACAGCCAAGTACTTAAAACGATTTTTTCCAACTTGGCCTTTTTTGTAAATGGTGTAAAAGTGATGAAAACTCTCAACCAGAAGGAAGGAAAAGGCTGCTGAGTACAGGAAAAAGGCCAAAATTCTCCCCACTCTGCATATAATCTAATGTAAAAAAAATCGATAAATCTGCATCTCTTATTAGATCTATAATGAACTCTGATGTCGCATGAGACTTTAAACATACGGCAAAACAATTATTTTGGTCTTAACTTACTGTACATGTGATCGAGAAAATGTTTCTTACCAAGCAATCTAGACTTTACTATTGCTCCACAACAACTTACAACTTGATATAACCCCAAAGACAAACAATGATGTTCATGTAATACTACAGCAAACGAAATTATGATATCACCTAGAACAAAGTTAGGTAGATTTTCTTAACCTTATATAAAACTTAAAACTTCGCATTCTCGACAGAACAACACATAAGACTTCGTCTATACTTTTCTATGTTATAAGCCTAATCAAAACGTTCATTTGGTTTCATTCTCCAACAATGGACTTCGGTATTAAGAGTCAGCAAACATGGCATTTCTCTAAAGAGAACATTATTATTCTTTTTGTAAACAAGTCTGTCATAGCAGGAAAATCTGTGTGTTAGAGTTAACAAATGTTTTTCACATAGCAGTTTATCACCTAACAAGTTTATTGTCAAGTCATAAATGGCTGTTGCAGGTTCAAAGTAACTAAGACTAATAAGTACAGTGTACTAGTATATCCTTGTTTCATCAACTTGGAAATTGTTCGTACGAAAAGCATGCTCTTTCATATCGAATCAACTGAGAGAGATAAACCCCATATACAGGAAATAAGGATATATTGCTGCATATACGTAAGGGACGTTGACGATCGAAAAGTTTAAATCATCACAATTCGCAGAATTTTACATACATATCTTGATAAATAGAATAAAGCAAACTTATAGATATCTGGAAAGAAAAAAATAAAGCAGAATAATATATATCAATCTAGGCAGATAAAATAAAGCAAACATATGGATATTCAGGTGCCATGGAGAAGTGAGCATCCCTGTCGACAAGTCACATCCGCCGTGTGCTCATTGTCATGATCGGGAAAAAAGGGAAAAAAACGTAGCCAATTTGCTAACAAGGTTATTGTATCGACCAAAAACTGTCGAAATGATTACTTCATACGAGACTAATTACTACTATATCCCAGTTTCAACAACTTGTTTTTCCTGTTTAAGAAATTGTTCGTATGAAAAGAGCATGCTCTTGCATATCGAATCATTTGAGAGATATAAACCTCATATACAGGTGATAAGGATATATTGCTATATATAAGTAAGGGATGTTGACGATTGAAAAGTTGAAATCGTCACGTTTATCATAAACCATAATGATTGTTGCTTTTGGATGCGTCTCCATAAGAGTGGAAAACTCTCGAGAAGGGCGTTAAACAACAATCAATCAATTAATCATTGTTGTTGGGTTACCATTAGCATCTTTACCAATAAAATATCCAAATATGAAACAGATGTGTTAGACTCTGTTGTATCTTTTATTTTAAGCTCATTGGGTTATATCAAGTTTATAAATGAATGGATGTAAATATTTTAATTGGTAATACGTCCCCAATATGTCTAAATGTCGAGCTGATCAATCTTCTACCGTATATAATTCCGTCTTAATAGGATTTTATGACATACCAAATCATAAACTCTCGATACATACACAATATTGATAGATTTCATCTAAACTACATTGTACATTCTAATTTCAGAGTAAAACTGACAAGCTTAAGATATAATAAGATTTACCTCGGAATGGGACTGGTAGAGACAAAGGATAAACACACCATTCACACAACTTAACACGAAGACAAAGTTCAGTTGTATAATGTACACCTCCCCAGATAATTTTCTGTAAAAGAGAACAAGCATCATTGGTTCTATTTTAGTTGCAAGGAACCCTATTAAGGTCTGTTTGGTATATCTTCGTAATGTATAAAAATATTCAAAATTTTAATAACATTCTGATTTCTAATCCAGTTTCTAAAAGTTTTTTTAAAAATCCAAACACTTAAACATTTGAAATTGGAAAGTTATTTTTCTTCCTTAAAGGATTATATAAGAAAAACTACCCCTGGTATCTTGCAGAAAAGCCTGGTAATGTACCTCAATTTTTTGTGAGTAAATATGTTTTAGTAGAAATACTTCAATAACAAACTCTTAGAAAAATTTATCTATTATTAAGGAACGTCTCGTCTGTCTTTAAATGTTTATTTATGTAAACATTTATAAGTTTTTACATTTTAAAGCAATTAAGACATTATTTTGAGTGACGATTTTACCTCCAACAAAGAAGAAAGACGATGAATATGGCGGCTAGGCCAGACATAGCAACAATGCAGCCCATCAGTAGGAGATCGTTGTTTTCTTCCGTGGAAGGAATTATAACCTGAAACGGCACAATATAAAGTACGCAATACCATTGAAAAAAGTCTGTGCTGTCTACCAACAGTTTCCGCGTAAATAATTGTATTTTACCGTTTCGTTTTGTTTGATGCCCACCACCTGTAGTTTAACAGGAAGTGCACATTGGCACGTGATGTAGGTTTCATCACTTGACACAAACTCGCAGTTTCCCTCTTTCCATTCGTGCTTTGTATATCTGTACAAATTCAAGTTTCATATTTATTCCTGGTAAATTAAAAAATTTAGAACATGTCACACTTATAAATATGCATTATACATTATACGAGTGATATGTGTTTTCTCAATTGATTTTTGTACCTTGAATTCTTTTCCAGAGAGAGACATATAAATTCCGAATAATCCTCTGCAAAAACCTGTAAAAATTGTTGCCATTGAAACTTAATGTTCAAAATATTTTCATATCACTTATTCTTTTTTTAAAACTTCAATTATGAGGACGAAGAAATACAACTCTGGATAAAGCAGACAGTTGCATGAAATAAAGCAGACTGAAGGATATATATTAAATTAGTGAAATAAAACATACTAATATCGATATCCCAATAGATAAAATAAAGCAAACCAATAAATATCTTGATAGAAAAAGCAAACTGATAGATAAATATTACTAACATTACAATTGAAATAAAGCAAACTTACAGAATCTGGACAGACAAAATAAACTGAGCAAACTCATAAAAAGATAGATATCAGGACAGATTTGAAAAAGCAGACTGAGAGGTAGATATCTAGAGAGTTAAAACAAAGCAAAGTTATAGATATCTAGACAGATAAAATAAAACAAATTTATAGATATTTGGAGAGGTAAAATAAAGCAGAATCCGGACAATTGAAATAAATCAAACTTTAAGATATCTGTAGAGATAAAATAAAGCAGAATAATAGATAGATCTCTAAATAAATAGAATAATGCACACTTATGGATATCAAGAGAGATAAAATGAAGCAGAATAAATAGATATATAGTCAGTTAAAATTAAGCAAACTTAAGAGATATCTGGACAGACTGATTGATCGATATCTGGAAAGATAAATGAAAGCAGTATACAAGAAGACATCTTGACAGATTAATTAAGCAAACTTATAGATATATAGAAAGATAAAAGAAAACAGAAAAAAAGATAGATATCTAGACGATAAATTAAAGCACACAGTTGGACAGATTCCTGGAAAATTAAAAGAAAGCAGAATAACAGATATAACGTTATATCTGAACATAGCTTATAGATATCCAGAATGATAAAATAAATTTATAGATATCTGGACAGATATAATAAAGCAAACTTATAAATATCTAGACAGATAAAACAAAGCAAACTTATAGATATCTAGACAAATAAAGCAAACTCATAGATTTGGACATATAAAATAAAACAAACTTTTAAGTAGATAATAAAGCAGAATTTAAGACATCCGCACGTATCATATTCTTTATTTTTTATATTCTACGTACAAAGGCCAGAAGTGGTATTTTGATCTCTCCAATAACGCGCTCTGCTGAGAAGCTATCCCTTGGAAACAGACTGACATCATACATATCCGTCACAGACCTCTGGTTCAGTTTCCTGTGGAAATATGAATTTGATTTTATTAGTTGTAAATTAAAAGAACACTCCGTGCACAAGATATTGAAAGCTATTGAAAAATAAAAAGTAATAATACAATCTCTAAGATACTTTACAGAAACTCTAAATACTAATACAATGTACTCGTGAATTAACTTGAAACTAAAATAGAAAGTGTCTAATGAAATATTATTCCTGGGTTAATTAATGATTCCGCGTAACAATATGAAAATATGACTATGTTTACAGCTGTTTTTGGCTCCTTTCACAGTTAAGGTGTTTCAGTGCAAGGAAATTATGGTGGGAATTAAGGTAGATTGTTATGCAATATAATATAATCAATGTCGTCCTCAAACCTAGTCCATATTTATTTATTTATTTATTTATCTATTTTTTTGAAAAAATGTCAAATGCACCTCGAGTGAACACATCGTCTCTAGCCCGTATACATTGATATTGCATGTAGTTCTCTACTACCAGCGGAACGTACATTTTGGTCGTCTTGTAATGCAACAAAGGTGTATCAAATCAAAGAAAATACATTGCATGAAGAGGAATATCCTATGCTACACAATACGGTTATTATATGTAGAAATAAAATTAACATTTGCGACTTTTATCTTGAATAATTTATTGTTAAATCAAAACGATGCTAGGACAGTTTACTGTTTACTCAGTTTTAGTTTAAACTTGAATGAAATTATTATTAAACTTTACAGTAGGAAAGCTCTAGCCAAGACGTTGGATACCAATTGCGTCCCGTTATTAGCAGACATATTTTTGTATTTATATGAAGCAGAATTTTTTCAAAATCTTTAACGTGAAAAGAAGAAAACGCTTCCGCCTTCAGTTCGACATTTAGATATATCGATGGTGTACATGTATTTCAATTAACAATAATTATTAATCCATTCTTGTGTCGACACGATATATCCCGGTGAGCTTTAAATATGAGATACCACAGAGTCTTATTTTCACATTTAAATAATTTACTAGAAAAAGACGTTAATAGTTATTAAACAACAAAACTTTTTGTAAACCTGATGACTTTTAACTTTTCAGTTGTCACCCTCCTTTACTTATGCAGCAATATACCTTCGTCACCCGCATACGGGTTTATATCTCTCAGTTGATTCGATACGCAAGAGCATGCTCTAAGTATGTACAATTTCTAAAATGAGGTACATTATTGACAAACAAGTTAATAAAAAAAGAATTTTAGCAGTCTCGTTTCAAGTCATCATTTCGTAAGTTCTATGATCGATCTAATGACCTTGTCAGTAAATACAATTTATCATTGAGTCAAATGCTGACTGACGTTTTTCATACCAACTGTTAGGACATTATATACACATTGAATTGTCAGCGGATTTTTCCATTACTTCCCGATCATGACAAGGAGCATACGGCGGATGTGACCGGTCAACAGGGTATGTTCACTCCATGGCACCTCTGATGTTTTGGAGTTTGTGTTTGCTCTGCTCCAATTTTGTATTATTTAATGGACCTTTGAGCTTGAATACTGTTCGTTATCTCAATATATTTCATTGTACCTTGCTCCTCGATTTTCAACCGCAGACCAAATGCAACTTTAATTTCCCCAAACGTAGTTACATACTAGTATATGTTTCACAATACGTTGAGGGTCCCATAAACTGAGAAATTATTATCAGTGAAGAGAAAGAATATTGTATAGCATATTGTGTTTTAATTACCTTTCAATATTTTCTGGAAACATTTCAGTCAAGCTTCGCAGTACAATAGATATAACTGGGTATTCTGCAATTGGACAAATTCATTAAAGGCGAGAAAGATGAATGGATTTGTACGTATCCTAGGTTTTTAACGAGAAAATTCAAAAGACACGTCACACAGCATATATAGTTACTACCTTTGTTTTCTACTGTTAGTTCCCCCTCTTGATTTCGCCTGTATAATGTTACAAGACTGACCGAGCTGCTTCGAATACTAACATCTGTAAAACATCGCCAGAAACGTACATTTGTCACTAGAAATTACTTATATATCTAAGGCTTCCTTCTTTCTTAGTTGTTTTTTGTCTTTTTTCTCTCTTTTATATCACAATGATGAATCATCAAAGTTTATAGTTTACATAATAAATGTTAACCTACCAATATTGTCTGAGAGAACATCCGTGTGGGGAGAAAATTCCAGATATCCAGACATATTAGATATCAAGGAGTCCAAGATGCCAACCATATTGCTCCCAAAACTCACAGCCTGTGGCAATAATAAGTCCTGAATGAGACTTTAAGTCTATTCGTTTTTACACTTGTACAAGCTTACACTTGTACAAGCGAAAAATTTACACCTGATTGAACTTGAAAAATATTTTAGTTAAGATTCACAATTATTCACTTATTCTGGTGTTTTTTTTAAATAGAAATCAAACAAAAACTGTAGGTGAAAGTAGATTTTGAAAGATTTGCAATGATAATAGCCCTTATTTCCTATATTGTAACATACCATAAAAGCAAATGCATGTGCATGTTATCGTATTACACATGATAAGTACATAGGTGACTAACCTCTTTTTCTTCCTTAGTTGAATTTGAAATAGCTGTCAGCAACTGGTCCAGTAAGTAAACGATATTCTAAGAAAAAAATTTAATTTAACTTTCTGACACGTGGCCCATGAACTCCGAAGAGAAAAATAATCATATCAATAATATTATGTGAATGACATACGTACCACGAAGGAAATTTTAGATCCACCTTCTGAGAGAGATGGGAACCTAGCCAGGTGCTGGAGGAGTTTCAGTAAGACATTGGCGGCGATTTCTACATCCCCGGAGTACATTCTATTCTGATGATTTGAGGCATAGCGGTAGAGATGATCGAACACGTACTTTAGAGAAGACGAGCGGTATCCAAGTCGGATAATCTCCATCTTACAAAGATTGAAAAAAGGTAATAAAGTACAAAAAGGTAATGGACCTAGAATCGCTCTTCTGTTAATAACCTATACAACTCCATCACTTCTATAATAAGCCTCCTAGGATCATTAACATTCAAAAAAGTCAAGAAATTCCAGAAGTCATTGTGTCCAGTAGTTTGGTTAACATATTCTGAGACCCAAAGGTCCCAAGATGCTGATAAATATCTATTATTTTAAGCCTCTTTTTATCCGAAATATTCAGATAAAGTCTTGGTTTTACAAAAGCTGATCACCCTACCCTGGTCGTCCTTTTAGCTAACACACTCCAAGATTCCAAGATGAAACTGACAAAGATGGGTGATTCCAATCCTCTTACGTATTCTCCGAAATGATTTTTATTCATTAGAAATACCCTTGATATTACCAAAGGAGATCACGGTTTCCTATACTTTTTAGTTGACATAATTCGACCCAAATGAGTCAACTTTCAACGTTTGATGATCCCAAACGTCTTATTTCCTTTACATTGAGAAACTTTTATGAAATTTCAAAAGTATACATGTACTTCACTGCGGTTTTTTACGTCATGCCACATCTTATGTCATTCCTCCTGCCAAATCTTATGTCATCCATCACACCACATCTGATGTCATAAATCACACCACATCTGATTTGGTAAATATATATCTCTTCTTCACCAAGATATTGAGAAAATTGTAAAAACACCAAACCGCTGTTGACCAAATTTTGGAGCCCTCTAATGACCCAAGATGCATCAAATGAGCTACTACCTATGAAATCCAAAAAATAATTCACTGTGACTGACTTTAACTCTGCTTATCTAGAATGCTTCAACTGCCATTAGTCCAATGATATTCTTTGATGAATGTGACATTTGACCGATGGATCCTGAGATATGACCAATATATTCCAAAAGTACACTGCACAAATACCCAAAGCTTTGGAAATTCAAACCTTCGGCTCTGAGCCCCAAAACAATTATAAGCAATTACCTCACCAACCAAGGACCATACCTTTATATATAAAACATGTATAGACAAATACATCATTTTTTTATTTACAAAGTTGAATATTCTCTAAAGGGGGGGGGGGGGGGGTTAATAATATATTTACCTCGTCGTAAATTCGAACAAGACTAACTGACTGGCACATGGAAAAGTTGGGTTCCTTCCAGGAACAGACACGTCTGTTTCCTTCGTTTTTACAAACACATTTTCTCGTCACAAATCCTATGATAGTTAAAAGAAAATGAAAGATCATCAGTTTGATTAATAAAGATAAAAGGTTTTATAGTTAAGTAGTCAGTATTTATGAAAGACTCATGTTACAGAATTTTCATAATTTTTTTTCCGAAGTGGACAGTGAAATAAATGCGTTATAGAAAATCAAACAATCACTGCCAAAAGTGAAAGAGTGCACCATCTCAAACATATATATTTGTTGAATACATAACTATAATTTTGGTTTTCATAAGATTCTATTCTCTAATTTGCAAGAATAATTTCGAATATCTTGAGGATATTGTACATGTATTAGATATCCATATACCCGTTTTCATTCCAAAGAGTGCTGTTTCATATAAAGATTTCCTACATAGTATATAGGGATCTACATGTATAGTTACAAAGTTTCCATCAATAGAATATGACAACAGTATGATGTAAAGATAAATTATATCAATAAATAACTTATTGTGCAGAAACAGTGAGTACAGAATGTGACGACACCCTCCACACCGGTATTAAACGGGAAAAACACGTCAACTGAAAGAATACACTATTCTCAGGGGTTTACACAAACCTTATCATGAAACACTTACCCGTGTCTATTGGAATATAATTTTCAAAATCTGTACAAAGGACGGTCATATATCATACACTTGATCAACCCATCTGTAGTTAATGATGTTAAAGAATTAATGAAGAACATATCGATTTCTAACCTCCAGCTTCCGCCGGACATCTTTCTTTCCTGTAATGACCCCCTGCCATTTCCGCCCACAAGATACTTTTATACCACTGCTGGGGACAAGTGTCGTTCGCCTGGGAGGCTTTTCATGAAGAAAATTTACAATTCATAAATCGATATACATAAAAAGCAGACAAGTACCTCGAAAGAGGATTTGTTCACGTGACAAGGTAAGGATTATAAAAGCTTACCTGTCTGTACATATATATCAGCAGTGACGTTCTGAGCACCGGCAGCGTTAGTGACCTTACAGGTAAATATGGCACGTTTCTGGAGGCTGCGTACGTAAAGCTGAGAACCGGCCGGCTGTAATGTTTCCGGAATCATGTCAGAGCGCCCTCTTTTGATTAGCACGTTGTTAACATACCAATTATACTGGAGGGCATCCTGGTCAAAGGATAGACATCGGATCCGGATGGATCGGTTGAACGGAACATAATCCGACATTGGATCAATATCCACCATCGGCGTCGTGATCACATCCACCAGGTCTGATTTATTCTGAGCAATCCCATAGTCCCTTGCCTCACAGGTATATTCACCTAAAGATTTTTCAGATTCGATAATCTATCATTTGAGATAATACCTTTTCAACGATATATATGTATGCTAAAATCATTAAGGCGGTTTTAAATTAATGATTGCTTTTTGTAGCCAAACCTCTGTCTGATGCTTTGACGCTTCCATAGTACAGTATAGATCGGATGGTCCCGTCCAGTTTTGAGTTAATGACAGTCTGGTATCCCTGTCTGGCGGCCAGATTCATGTCAATCAGCATTCCGTCCTTAAACCATCGGAAAGAAGTGTTCTCCGAGCCCCGCACGAGACAGGAAATGGTCAGGAACTTGCCTTCAATGGTGTAGCTGATGTAATCGTCACCCCAGAAGGAATCGTGGGACTCCTCTGTCGTCACGACCTCTATCAGATGGAGCACTGCAACCCGGGAAAATCAGATTGTCACATACATAGCGAAGCATTACAAGGTACCATGCATAGTGAAGCATTACAAATACTTGTTTAAAAACATTAGAAATAGGTATCGTAAAAAAGAATAATAGTAAAATCTTTTTGACTTTTGAAGTCCAGCAACTGTTTCATTAGTTTTTTACCTGGAATGCTTTTGATTGACAATGATGTGTTATGGAATGGAATTTCACCAACATAGCCTCTTCTCAAAAGAGTTCTCTTGAATTCCTTTATCTTGTGCTCGTCAGAAGCCTCGATGATGAAGCGAAATTCACATATTTTGGATGTTGGTTGACTTGAATTTAAAATAAAAGAATGTCATGGAACATTGTTTGTTAAATCAGTTTATTTATTTACGATATATCGTAATTATAACTTCATGAAAAACAACTTATTGAAGTCAGTCTGATTAATATTGAAGTATGACTCTTACTTTATTCCAATGAAGCTAAATTGCGTCATTGTTTGGATGTCAATGTTCTTTAAACTGAGTTCAACCTAATAAAAAGCAAAACAAAATAACCTTGGAAGTAGTCAAAAAAAATAAAGATTTAACATCTTACTTTGTTCAAGGTTCTATAATTTTTCTTTCTTTATCTTTTTTTATTTTTTTTTTATTATATTAATTTATTTAATGATTTTATTTTGTAGTCGTAAGTCATATAATATTTACAACAAGAATATTGAAAGACGTGCAGGTGAACATTATAATTCAGTATATTTCATGAAGATCTTACATCCTGGCGAACTTTGGTTATTTGTGAATCGCTGAAAGTAAGGTTATTTCCGGTTTGAGAAATTGTCTTGAGGTAGCTCTCTGTTGGTTGCATGGTAACAATGATTCGATTGCGATCTACAAATGAATAAACAGTTATTGGAAACATGCGCCATTCATTCTATTGAAAAAGTCCACAGAGATCACCGACCCGTCTTTTTGATTACAATTTACTTTTCTGAATGAATAAATATTTTGATAACGTTGTTCTGGTCGGCCATTAATTTTATCACATTGTTTGTTATTAAATACTTTGTGACCCTGGTCAGCTAGGTGACTTACCTATATGTGAGCAGGTTCTTTTGTCGGCGTTCAACCTGTAGTCCTTGTAGCATGCACACTGTTTATTACCGTGTAAGTCAGAAATACATGTCTGCCCACAACCTAGGTAGGCACAGGCTGAAAACAGGAATTGTACATGTCAGTGGTTAACATTTACATTGACATGCCAACAGCCAAAGAGAAATTGTATGTAAATATAGGAAATATAGGACTAATCCAAACATGACAAACACTAAAAAAAGTTTCATTTCCTAAAACAAAACTAAACATGTCAAAAAGTAAAAATGGCTTATATGTCAATACCTAAAGAGAGACTGTATGTCTGAATGAATAAAAGAGATGTAATGCCAGTCAAAAACTAAAGTGTATACTGTAAATATCAATAAATATATACAAACACTGCAAATGACAATAAATTAAAACTAGAGGTACTCTGACCACTGAGCTCACTAAATGATACCCCCCGCCTCCCATATGGTTATAATGGCATAATGGATACCCGAAATAAGGTTCGGTTCAAAAAGTAAAATAGGAGGTGCACAATGGCATTATGTACATGTAATAATAAGAATCTGTTATAGTATCCTAAAATTTATTCAGTGGTATAGGAGGAGTTGCGGATAAGAGATTGGTATACCCTTCAATATTATAGAAAGAATGGCAGTGTCCATGTTTAGCCATGTGAAATCCAAAATATGTGTCTGGTCAAAAAGTAAAATAGGAGGTCCATGATGATACCACGTAAGAAATATTCTGTGATAGTCTCATTATAATTCTTTCAGTGGTATAAAAAAAAGTTGCGGATATGAGATGAGTAACCCAAAGCGTAACATACGGACGGACATCCCGATCACTTTATACCCTCCCAGGGTATATTTTAAGCGGGGAGTATAAAAAGACATAGTTTACTCAAATGTCAATATATCAATGCTGGTAACTTAACACTAAAACAGATGCTGAACATTTCCAGTAACTGAGACGGTGACCAATAACTAAGACAGAAGCAGTACGTCTCAATTATTAAAAAAGATGGTGTACTTGTCAATACTTTATTGAACGATACGCTTGTCACTACATGTATTGGTAAATAAAATAAACCCCAAACGTGTAAAACACTGAACAGAATTTAAAAAAATATGAATTTGACTGAATCAAGCATATTTCAACACTTGATAATACGTTAAAGACATCTAGCGAAATAGACGGAGAGCACCTTTATAATCTAAATAAGAATCCTTTACCATGAGATCTAATTAACATCATCTGTATCTTAATCTTAAAATTTATGGTAGGACAATTTTCTGCAAAAAAAATTAACTTTACAACAAATACTAACTGCAATTTTTGCTCATGCACTAAAATAACGTCATGGAAGACCATTTCACCTGCTGCATTGCATATTGGTAATATTGGCTCTTTCAAATTGTATTTCTTTTTAAAACTTTGAACACCAATATTTTCTTACCGTCTGGTAGATAGTCCGACAAAGGAACCTCACACATGTTCCCAGTAAAGCCTTTGGTACAATTACAGATGTTCACATTTGTCCCATAAAAGTACCTAAAATTTTGATATCGATTAGTTACCAGGACAGAAAGTAGTTATGATTACTTTTTACAATATAGATTAGAAATCCACTTATTATCACTGTAACAAATTTAAATATATATATATATAATTACAACATTTTGAACTCGTTTTTCACAAATTTATAATATAGTTAATTATATTCCCCTATTTCGTTTTATTCACGACTTGATACCTGTTACAAGCATTGTTTATGTACAGGCCCATACCATGAAATTTTTCTGAATGAAATATTTGAGATAATAAACAGTATTCAAGCTCAAATTTCATTCAACCAAAGCACATTAGAAGCAGAGCATCCATGGGCCTCTAAAACATGAGAGGTGGAATTAAGTGGCTTGGGGGAGTGAGCATCATCTGCCGATTGGTCACGCCTGCCCTGTGCTACTTGCTATTGTCGGGAAATAACGAAAAGTCAGTGTGTAAATAATGTCCTTACACTTCCATTAAAAACATCAATCAGCATTTGACTAAATGATAGATTGTACTTGCTGATTTTTGCTGATAAGGTCATTTTTTTTTCGACCACAGAACATAGAAAACGATGACTGTAAACGAGATTGTTAATATTCTTGTTTCATCACCTTGTTTGTCAATACCTAACCTCATTTTAGAATTGCTCATATTAAGAGAATGCTCTTGTGTATCGAATTTATTTACTGATGGATATAAACCCCGTTTGTCGGTGGTAAGGGTATATTGCTTCACAAGTGAGGACAATTAACAATTGAAAAGTTAAAATCATCAAGTTTATCATAGAGCTTTGTTGTTAAGTTACCATTAATGCCCTTTTTTAGTAAAATATGTATGTCACAGATGTCACAGATGTCACAGATGTGTACCACTCTGTGGTGTCTTTAATTTCAAGATCACTGAAATATATTATGCATATGAATGGAAATAACTAGTGTAAATTAATAGTGCGGCGTCGACATATCTAAATGTTGAGTTGACGGTCACATCAAGTGTTTTCTTTTATTCTCATGTAAGAGATTTTGAATAAACTCTACATCATATCAATACAAAAATAGGTCTGCTTACAACAGGGCGCTATTGGTAACAACGGGGATTGTTGGAAGACCTGATCTCCAAAAACCATAAAGATATTGTCAATCAGAGATTCAAGTATCTTTTAAATATCAACATCAGAGAACTTGTGTGTACAATCAGAATGATTTCAACTAAATTATTTTGCAGAAAATTCAGAAAACTCAAATATCCTTTTAATATCAACATCAGTGAACTTGTTTGAACAATCTGAATGATTTTAACCGAATTATTTTGCAAATGACCAATGACAAGGTAAGTAAATACGACTTCCATTTTCATTGAAAAAGTAGCTGTCAATGATGTGCCTAGACTTTAATTTATCGTGGAGGATAGTTGTATATTAAGTTGAAAAGTCGTTACTTTTTAAGCTGTTGATTTTGGTAAAATCTTGTGATTTCGAATTTTGAAAAAGTTCCTTGGAATTTTTAAGTATCCACATCAGATTTACACCATTTCTTGAATCCATTGTATATTGTTGCACAGTACTGTTGCAGTTTCTCCTTCACTACTGTTAATATCAAAGAAAGAGGCTTGGTTGGTTACTGGAACCTGCTATGTATTTTTGTAAGGATTCTTTTGAAGTTTGGGAATCCAACATATAATAAAGTAGTTCAAATTCATTTTGGTTCTTTGTGATATTAAAACTATTCAAAACTGACATATATATGGTTTTGGAGAATTACTTCTTTAGAAAGGGAACTATGAGTATAAGTCGGATTACTATTTGTAGAATTAAATCCAAGTTCTTCTAAAATACAATTTATATAATGAGCCTTACAAACGAAGACAATGTTGTTACATGTACCTGCTTTGTCAGCAGGGACCAGTATGTACTGATCATCTAATCAATCTAATTCTTTTTTTTTCACTTCTGGATCATTGAATACAGAAGGATAGATGGTTTTCATATTGCCCCTCAGTCGCTTAAACATTTAATTTGTCGTGGAGGTAAGTAATATATAGTGTTGAAAAGTTACATAAACTTATCAAAAGAACACCCAACAATACATAAGGAGTCGGGCACTTACCGACACTCTCCTCCATTTTTACACTGGTTTATCCCCTTTGCGGGGTCACAATGCTCCCCATACTGACAGATACTGCCCTGGTATCCATCGAAACAATGGCACTTATACGCCGAAAAGTCGGCATTGGCATAACAGTTGCCGAGATAGGAACATCCCTGGACTGAGCAGGTGCGCTTAAGATTGGCGGAGGATGGATCCAGGAACTCATACGTTATGTTAAATCCATACACGTCTACTATGTGGTCCAACACACGGACATTGATATCGTTTATCTCCGAGACAGCAAATCGAATCACAGTGTATGGCTTATTGGACACAATACGGTTGATTTCACTGTTGGCATTCAGTGTTGCAAGTTGCCTAGGCTCAATGTACTCTCTATGGTTCGAGTAATGCTCAAATTGCCAAACACTGACAAAGCCCTTGAGGTAGAACTGAGTTAGGTAGATAGCTGTATTTCTTGTCTGAGGATTGTATATTACCCACTCACATCGTATAGGAGTAGGAAATTCTTTTGGGAAATTAGGAGAATGGATGACACCCTTTGTTTCTGAAAATCGTCCCCCACAATCTTTGTATACTGTAACACTCTGTACCCAGTATGTACAGTAGCTAATCAGAAGTAAGCACAGCAAGTGCATAAGGTTATCGGACGCCATTCTTCTTCACCGGAAGCCCTCATCTCGCCTTGACGGTATCACATTTAAACCTGAAAAATGAAGATACAATTACATATATAGGAGAACATTTACGTAGCAAAATCTCTCTTTCAGTCCCTTATTAACATTACATAATACATGAATTTTTCAATTAGTAGAAAGAATAAAATCACAGGTTCATGCCGGAACAGTCCTTGATATAATTTTAAAGAAACAGTCGGCAGAACACCCATGATTCCTGTTCATTTACAATCATAGTACACAGAAATTGTCGTATACGAAAAAAGAGTGATCAATAGCTATATAACATGTGAGTTAACCAACTTTTTCTTGTATCAATAATATCATTAAAGGGTCATTAGTCCAAGTTACAAATATTTTAAGTTCTCACCATAAACATTCAGACATGAATGAAGTATAATGTTTGCAATTTAGACAAGCAAAGAGTTGAGACTCATCATTTATTGTTTAGTCGTTCTAAAAGATGTATGTATCGCTTTCAGAGAATAATGTAGAATCAACGGGGTACAAATTCTTATAAAGATACAAGACAGAAACAAATATAGTCATCATCTTATGATTCATTTTGAGACACAAATGTAGATACAAAGAGAAAACACCAACAAGAAAAGAAGATGAGTGAAGGAAATGCCATTAATAGCACAAAATGCATCAACATCATGTCCAATTTGATAATTTTTCAAAGTATTTAGTGTTCAGTTTCATTATTTTAAAAAATGTAAGAAATTATGACCAACAAAACTTCTCCTGAGAAAAGTTATACTCTTGTTTAAAAAAAAATTATACGGATTTTATATGTAATGAACCCATTCCATAAAATTCCTGAGAATCAACATTTTCTTAAAGTATGGCACGTTCATCACTTTATCACACAGCGACATAGAGTTGTATTTAAAATTACCCTGGAATAACACAACTTCAAATAAATATTTCTAGAACAAAAAATTAAAAAGTGTGAATTTAAGGTACTTAAATATGACAAAAATATATGTTATCATTTGATGAAATGTTTATGTTTATTGTCTTTGGTGAGAACTTCTTATTTCATACATCAATAATTAAAATCCCTGAGAGATTTTTGCAAATTGTTGAGAATTTACAAGAACCATATACAAGGATGTTAACTGAAATATCAAATAAAATTTTGTTTTAATTTAGATTTAAGTTTTCACTTTTTTGTTTGTTTAACCATAGGAATCATAGATATTTTGTTACCTTATTTTTTCCCTTTATTTACGTAACAGAATGATGTCATAAGTAACTTTATCTCTTAAAAGTTGTACTAGTAGTCAATGGAATGACTATACACGAAGATGATCAATTTGAAAATTAAGTATTTTTTCTTAATTCAGAAAAATCAAAACTGTCTTTTGTTATTTTGATGGGCTTTAAATTGTTTAAGGATACGGGTACTTTGCTTGGGTATCCAAACAATTACACTGTACACATGTTTGTCCAAACTGGAACATTGTCCCTCGCAGTTGATTTTATTTACTTATTTATCTCAGGTATTTCTCTACCTTGTACACATATTGTAAATAACTATACCTGAATAACAAAGAGACGAGATTTTTCATACCTTTAAATCTAGTTCGCATTTACTATTCAATTACTGGTTAATGTTATAACTGGCCATTTACCATCAACTAAATTAATACCTATTACATTCTGTGGCGTCTACTCAATAAAAACAATCGCCCACTCATATTAAATAATTCCTTTCTTTCCATACATTTTCTTCATAATCCCTGTTTCTAATGAATATATACCGACTGATGACGATATAGATATCGTGAACATTTCTATTTCCAGTTTATATGATACTAGCATCAGCGCACGTGAGTGACTGTCCAAACATACTGCGACATAACTTTCTGCTTTCAAAAACGATGGAATATTTAAGATTTAGATACATTGATAATGAATACTAGAATACAAGACGGAAGGAAGTAAAGCTAACTGAGATTCAAACAGACAGACAACTATGCTGATTGTGGGAAGGGAAATCGATAATCTGGACGATTAACTCTACAACAAACACCTAAGTCCACTTCATGTCCAGTTCAGTGTTCGCCATTGCCTGTCACTTTGTTTTAGTGGCCTAACTTATCAGCCTGCCTTCGTGACAAGAGGACTTCCCTCTGTCGGTCAGGTACCCTTCTTATCGAGAGCCACGGCCAAGTTGTCAACGAAAATACCCAAAACGGCACACAGGCAATAAAATGAGATTACTTATTAAATATACTAGCTTTAATGGCGAGATATGAAAATGGTCAGAAAATGCGTCATTAGCTTCACCCGACCTTCAACTCGGAGCCATTTATTCTGTATAAACAACAGATAAAGTATGAGGCTATTCGGGTGAACCATGGATCTCCAGGCCTGTAGAGAATCTCAGTATTTTTTGTATCCTGGTGTTATTGGGATGTACGATTTTTCCCTCTCACTGCTTCTGATCATTTTAGTTTTCATAAAAAAGGCCGATAGTCTTATTGTTGAGTCACAGACATTTACTATTCTTTAGTGCTTTAAAGCAACCACATACAGTGTTCCATAATTTTTTTTCTCACTAATTTCGTTAATTTTACATTTTGCTAGAAATAGTATAAATTTTCGTTTGTTTTGCTTCTAACTAAAGTCTGTCGTTTAAAAATTAAGATTGTAGAAGCGGTCCTCAGAGTTCTCAGATTGTTTTGGGTAAGAAAAGGACATCTATGGGTCTTTTAAAAGATTACAGTCAGTTTCGGTAAGAGGGTTTGTAATCTTATTGGATAATCATAAGAATGTTACATTGTGTACACCAACTTTTTTTATGTTTGCCTGAAGAAAAATGTTTCCAATACTGAATGACAATGAACGGAATGGCTCAAAATATGAAGGAACTCAATGACGAAAAATTTCCTGATGGACAAATAGATATACAGAAAATAGCCAGCAAATGTAGATACAAAGAATTCAAAGCAAACTTACAATACTTCCTACATCCATCTCTAAATCATGAACACAGCTTCCCCCTTCAAGAGCAATAATCAAACGAAGGCAGCAAGGGGTCCAGCTAATAAAAAGGTACGCTACAGGTTCTAACAGATATACGAAAAAATATCCTTTTATAATACGATAATCCGAAACGTCTGTTGACTAGCTGTTAATATGAACAAGATCTGAAATAGCTGCCTCATTGAAAAATATGTATGAGTCTAGTCAGAAATGTTTAGACGCAAGAAGCTTGTTTAATGAACAGGTGAAATTATATTAATAACAATGTTAATATTTAATAAACAGTATTAATGACCAGGAGGAAACTTAATTAATGTACAAAATCCTTACATACAATGACAGAAGATGAAGGGATTGATGCACATTACCAAAGTATAGAGATACGAGCTAATCAAAATAGGCAGATAGCAGCGTATGGGGGAAATATCTCAATAACTTGACTAATCACCTCTCACATTTTACAACCGATACAATGTTAACTACACCAGCTGTCCGACATTTTGTTTTTGCGACATAAGAGGTTGTAAATCCGAGATATGGCGGCAGATATTGGAATTTTCCGATACTTTGGAAAACCATAAATCTAAGACTCCGAATCGGATGTTTCGTTTTGTTAAAACAGAAAAAAATATTAAGTCATTTACAAAACGAATAAACTCTTGGTTTTAATTAATTTGACGTTTTTTTACACCAAAAAGAAATCAATCAATGCCGTTTATTAGAGATGGGGGAATTTCAAACAATGATAAGTATACCATTCACAATTGATTCAAACGTTGTGTTTCTTTTTTTTTTTTAGTAAAGCAACAGATATTGAGCATATTGAGAGCATACTCCGTCACCTGATGACAAACATTACCTTCATCACAGAACCTATGACGACAGAAGTGAGAAATAACAGGTAGATATATCACATTTAAATCTTTCACTTTGTCACTAAAAGTTCACAACTTTGCCTTTGTTTATATCAAACCAATATAAGTTAAATTTCAAATTTGAAATATTAAAAATAGTTCAAAGAAAATTGATCATGTGACATATTCAAGAAAAAAATTGTGGTATATTAAGAAAAAAAAACATTTAATCGTGACATTTTTGAACTTCGATTCCGTACCCAAGTTCTAGTTTATCGGACAATGCTGAGGGTGTTTGTAATCCCTCGTTTATAACCTTTGTTGATTTTGCTAGGTCGTGACAGGACAATATACAACCTTTATCGAGAACGAAGTCGGAACGCAGCATTTGCTAGTACACGCACAGTCAACTCTGGTATGATGAATATTCATATCACCATTTGTAAATACATATTAATTATGTATTTAAATTTAATTTCAGATTTTGTTCATAAACAAGATTATCCCTAAAATTTAATCCTCGCGTTTTTTTTTCTCAATTCAAATTTTTGTAGAGGACAATAGTCTGGAATTTTGAAAGTCCTAAAATGAAACGAAAACATTTTTTATTGTATTTGATTTATCAAAATCAAATGATGAAAAATGTTCATTTATTTAATTTATTATATGCAAACTATCACTTAAAATGAAATGAAGATAAAATGATGAAACGAAGACAAAAACCATACTTCGGGAGCTTTCGAGAAAAGCTACACCTGTTATTCAAAATATTACTTATAACTTTAAAAAAAAAATTGGAAAATAATTTTATCACATTTTTTTACCTCCTATTTTTTATTGAGCATTAATGTTTCATCTAAAATTATTTATACAAAACAATAAAAAAAAATTAAGCATCTGAAGAGTTATTGATTAGTTTCCATTTATTGTCCAAGGTTCATTTAATATTCACAAATAAATTTCAAATTTTTTTCTATATTTAAACATATTTACCCTATTTTTCAAATATCTTATATATTATCTATACATTACATTACGAAGATATTCACTGAAAAAACGATTGGTCAATGTCACGAAATGTACCATTTTTATTTACCTGGTTCACAGAAATATCCTCATGTTTGCTAAACCCATAAACACCTGCCTATTGTATTTAAATGAAAATTCAAAAGGTACGTGTTTTCTTCTTGTATATTTAATCCAGATTATTTTCTAAGACCCTTTCAGGGCTAAAAAACAAAATCGTATTAAGCAATTTAATTTCATGCTTCAAAAGAATCAATATATATTATATACATGTACGGTTCATGTTCAGGATAAACTCAATGTCGAGTGATGCAGTCAAGATGTTCTTTAAAATAAAATTCAACTCAACAGTTCAAGGAGAAGCGGTTACTTAATCATATTTATAAATATTTGTTGTTTAAGATATATTTTATAACAAAAGTACAAGTAAAATCTTCAAGTAATGAAAATTATAGCATATATTTCAAATTTTTTTGGAGTTGTTGATGGGAGGTTGATTTTGAGGGGTTCACGACTTGTGACAGTGATTCTGTATCTAGGGGACATTTAGTCAGGTGAGGGACAATCAAAGACTTACCTGAGAGTCAGCGGACAGGAAAGGACAGCCAGCTCCACATAAAACCATCCAAATAACTGAGGATAACCGTTAATTGTTTACTGTAGAATCACAGGGAGGAAGATGCACTTAGGGAGAGCTGGTAAATGTTAACGCATGCGTTTACCAAGTGTTTACATGTACTGACCATCCCTTATCGCTGAGTCGGTCGATACTGACCGCCAGCTTATGCCGTGTGTTTGATTACTCAAGGTTGTTGTGCAACATTCCTTTAAAGATTAAATTCTACTTACAAGGTCTGTCGTTTATGTGGCTATTAATGGCGTGTTAAAATTAACACCACGGACAACGGGTATAAACTGGCTGGCAGGAGAATGGTGCGGGTTACTCTTGACCCGGCTATTACCGTAATTTGTTAATACTGGCTTACGCGTATGTCAGATTTTAATTTTAGCTCATCCGCTACATCACACAGATGTGATTGATTCGGACGTTCCGTGGCACTTACGACCGCAAGTCTGACCCTGCTTGGATCTCTTGATCTGTTGTTTACTCTGGTCACTGATAACCTTGATCTAGTGGATTTCTAAATTATATATTAAGTGAAATAATCCTTGAAATTGCAAGTTATATTTCTGTGATGCGTCAAAGCCATACATTGTATCGGTTTTGCACGAATACCAAAGTATATGTTAACGTATTTTGCAAAACTGTTTAAGCATTTGACACATATGGGTTACATGTACAAGTTCGTTAAAAGAGTTTTTCCAACATTTATATAATACAAACAACAAAAAAAAGTATTTGGTCATGGTGTACCTTGCACGTTTTGTTTGGATCTCGTTTGCACTAGGTTTCTAAGGTTTACAAATTTTGTACAAGAGGAAAACAGAAAAACAATAACCGGAATATCAGACATCACCAAAAAAGGGTGAAGATAACACTGATCGGTCCCATAAGATCTTCAAACAATACAAATATGTGAACAGGGCATAAAAACACGGACCCCCGGGAATTCCAGAGGTGGGATCAGGTGCCTTGGAAGAGAAAACATCCCCTACTGACCGGTCACACACGCCCCGAGTATAAGTATCGATCAAGTATAGACGGTCAATACGTAGTTAAATACTTGCTTAATAATTGTTATGAAATAAGTCGAGCCAGTAATAGGTTATATTTGCTAATAAGCTCATTGTAATGATTATAGAATTTACGAAATGTTGATTTTTAACGAGGTTGTTAAAATCCCTGCAACATCAACAAATGTATGAGTAGCCTGCCTTATTATTAGTTTAAAAATTGATGGGACTGAGGGCTTTCTCTTGAGTAACGAATGAGTTGTGAGACATAAACATACATGCAGGTGATAGCGGACTTTAAAAGAAAAGTTGACGATGGAAAATCTGAAGTCATCTCGATTGTCATACAAATTACTGTATAGGGGGAAAATAACTCGCGGTGTTAATATTCGCTATATTCACGGTGATAATAAATCCGTGAATTCAAGAAATAGTGAATATTTTTTTCAATAATCTCCATGTTTTATTTGGAAATTTTTTATTTAAATACATGTACCACAGTGCATGGTCATTTCAGTAATTAAACTCGTCATTCAATTATTTTAATTAGCACGCTTTACATTAATTCAAGTCAACAGATAATAACCTGTATTTGTTAAAAGGCTTTTTAATAGCCAACGCTACATGTTTCATCAATCAAAACCAGTGGGCCATGAGATTTGATTACCCGTGCGTAACTAATGCTAACACGCACGGTGTGTGCATTACCTGCATTATCATGCATATTATATAGTTTTTATCGACATTTTTATTTCAAAAAATCATTCAAATAACTATCGAACTTACTCAAGATTTTAAAGGAAATTATTTCGTCGACATACATGAACAAATTTATTACCGTCCAGTGGTTTTTCGTCGCGATGTATTAAAGATCTTGGGGTGTACATGCACTCATCGTAATAGAATGTAGGAAAGTTATTTGATGTTTATAGTCAAGGACTTTTGATAACTGCACCTGTTTTAATTAATTTATTAAGTCTTACTATTTTATATTAACCTACCCTGTTGTTCGTGAAATAAAGACATAACAATTATGAATGCCGTTTACATGTAGCTATGGATTAAACGGATATAGACAAGGGAGGTAACTTCAATAACATAAGAATTCCGCGAATTCAAGAAACCGCGATTGTGTCCGATGAGAGAAAACCGTGAAAATTACAACCCGTGAAATTAATCCCCTATACAGTAGTTGTTGACTGGCTTTTATTATCTATGGTCAGTTAAACATCTAAGCATTTAACAGATGTGACAGACTCTGTGGTGCCTTAAAACTTAATTTCAAGTTCACTGGAACATATCGATTCGACAAATGAATGGAAATATAACTAGTTTTAATTGTTAAAAAGCCGTCGATATAATTATTTGAATATCAAGATGAAGACCACAGAAAGTGATTCCTTCTTCTCAGGTATGTTTTAAGTAAATTGTCCCCTATAAGAATATCAAAAATAAGTCGGCTTATCCATCACTATTTCAACGGTTTGTTGTTTGACCAAGTCATCTCCGAAGACAAAATCTTGTGAATGATGAAATCCAGCATCTTTTTTTCGTCAGCTTAAGAGTACTTTGTATAAAGTCAGTGTGATTTTAACAAAGTATTTTTTTTGATGACCAATTAAAAGATACGAAAAATTCCTCAAGTTCCGTTTTTATTGAAGACACAGTTTTCTGTGATATCAGAAATCCTAGTTTTCGATATATCTGATGGATAGCTGCCCAAAGCTGCCCAAAGTGTATATAGGAAAGTGGAATTTTTCTCTAGAATCTACAGAAACACTGTACATTTGAAATTTCTTTTTAATGCGTTTGCTCGATTTTTCTGATTGAAAATATTGTTTAAATACATTTTTCATAAAATTTTATTTAAATAATTCGATGAAAAAAACTGTACAATGATATATTATTTTAACGCGTTTTGATGACACCGTTTTTATAAGAATCAATATAAATGCGTCAAATAAAAACGAACTGTCTTTCTTATGTTGTACAATAAGAAGCTACTCTAGAATGATAACAACTTAACCCTAACAAAATATACTATAGTTAACTATAATGATGACAGTGTGAAAAGTTTGATTTACTACAGTGATAACTTTGACACTTGGATTTGCTATAGTGATAAGTATAAAAACTGATTTATCGTAGTGATCACTATGAAAACTGATTAACTACAGTTATTGCTATGACACTATAGTGATCACTTTCAAAACTTTGATTAACCATAAGGATAACTTTGACACTATAGTGATCACGATGAAAACTTTAACTTACTATAGTCCTTGTTATATTATTGTGCTTTTTATGGGGTTTATGAGGAATTATATCATTCGAAGTTTTAGGTTCTATGTTTTTATAAATTTTGAAACAGGCATAATGATTACGACAGATTTAGGTACAGACAATACACAATGCGATTGAGAATATTTATTTTTCAATTTCATATGTAGGTATATGTTGTAATAATTTAATGATGGCATATTGAATAAATACATGTGTACTTGATGTTAACAAGTGCATTATTATTATAAATGCAATATACATCTGATAATAGAACACAACATATGCCTGATACATCAACAAGAAGAAGCAAGAGTCTGTGCTAAATATAAGAAACAGAAATCCATTTCTGCCTCATGTGAATAAACAGATACTTAATTGTAGAATTTCCCTTCTCTCTTGAAAGGATACTGGATACATTTGCATAAGATGATTGTATTTTACAAAGCAAATACATTTATGTTAACAAAGACGTTCTGCGAATTCTTCGACTGCTAATTCCCAGTAAGAGTTACAGGGAGGTGTTTGTTTATGTAAACGTGTGAGTTTCCTTTGATTTAAACATAGATCTCGCTTCAGTTTAAAGTTATACCGTATGTAGAACTAAATGTGCAGAAAGTAAAAGTCTTTAGCATAAATATCACGTCATAAATCGTCAAGAAGCAGTAATGTGATAACATCGTAATTTTTTTTTACCTAATGATTTTTATTCATACCGTTTAAAGTCAATTTTTTTTTCATATATCCTTAAATTTTGGAATAAATTACAATAATTATGAACAATTATGAACTCTTTTAACAATGTTTAAGAATTCCAGTGTAGAACAATAATCGACCTATAATTTGTGCTTTGTTATATAAGTTGATGGTCTAACCTTTTGACTACATGAATATACATGTGTATGTATAGAAAGGACTCACACAGGCACTTCAGCTTTTTACACCATGCTTGTATGAAGATCAACTATGGCAGGGCCCTGTAATTAGATAAGAAGTTGGATCAATTTCTGAAAAGGGGAAGGAACACTGTAATTAGATATAATATAAACATCGATTTCTGATGAGGGAGAGCTTCATGGCATGTCAATCGTTTCCGTATTCGATTTTTCCATTTGTTATGTATGGATTTTCATTTATACTTATAATATATTTTTCCATGTGTATTGTATATTTTTTTAATTTTAATTATATTTTTTTGATTTGTATGGTGTAATTTTTCATATCATTTATTTCTCATTCCAATATCAACAGCAGTGAAGGAGAAACTTCAGGAGTACTGTGTACAATAATAATAATTTAGGAAGTGATTTTTATCAGACGTGGGTACTTAAAATTTTCAATGAACGTTTAAAAAACCGAAATCACAAAATTTTACCAAAATCACACAGGCACATGACCTTACTTATTTTTTCTTTTAATAAAAAAAATACACTCCGACTAATAATTGAATTATTATAGGTAGAGGGGTATAATTTTATTGAAAGAAAAATAAGTAGCGTAAGGTGCCTGTGCAACATCAAAAATATCACAACGTTCGACCTCTCAATACCTTATATGCACCCCCACGATAAATTAATTATGTTCAGGCTTTTTGAAAGCATTGACAGTTGAATTTTCCTTACTTTGTCATTGGTCACTCGCAAGATATTTTTCTTTTTTTAGTTTTAAAAAACTCTCTGATTGTACACACAAGTGCTCTGAAGTTGATTTTTTTTCATAAGTTTACTAGAAGAAAAAAACGTGAACCTAACAATAAAAATTTATGATAAACCAGATGAATTCAATTTTTCAATCTTCAACTTTCCTTACTTCT